CCCTCCTCCCTCAGACCGGGGAGCCCAGGTCCCAGCCCCTCCTCCCTCAGACCCAGGAGCCCAGGCCCCCAGCCCTCCTCCCTCAGACGGGGGAGCCTAGGTCCCAGCCCGCCCCCCACACCTGTGTGGACCTCCGAGACTGGCGCATGAGGCGAGAGCGAGCTTTCCGCTGGGATTCTGACTCCTCGTCGCGCACAGGCATCTGGTAGGACCTGCATGAAGAGCCCCTGACCTCAGGGAGGGTTCCTTTGGGCCTGTCCTAGGCTGACACCCTTGGGGGAGGCAAATTCGTGGAGAGGACCCTTCTCTCCAGAGCCTGGGGAGACCACTGCCGGCCTCTTTTACCTCCGGCGGTCCCGGGAGTCCGCTGGGGGCACCGTGGAGGCGGCAGGGACAGCTGGCTTCCCTGGGGCTTCAGGCTCCGGGACCCTGGAGGCGGGAGTGGAGCTATGAGGCAGGGGGCTTGGCGCCCTGTCACCCGTGTGGAATCACTCGTTCAGCAAGCATCACTCAAGCTCGCCTTGGGTGGCAGGCGCCCGCCACCAGCAATGAGCAAGAGCAACAAATGCCCTCTGCCCAGGGAGGCCAATCTGAGCAGAAAGGATGCGAAATACACAACAACCATAAAGATGCGTCCATCTCGGGGCACACCGGAGGGTCCGCACGTGGGAGGAAAGAAACAGCAAGGACAGGAGGCGGGAGGGCCCGAGCGTCCGGGCACCAGGGCAGTGTGACCAGCGGCCGCGGTGGGCCTCCCGGGGAAGGTGACCGGAAACAGACCGAGGGAGGGAGAGCAGAGCAAAGGTCCTGGGGGAGGAGTGGGAGGTGCTGGCCAGGGCACAGGTGGGAGCCAGGGGAGAGGAGCAGGAGGCCGGGGCACTGTGAGCTTTCACGTGTTGCAGCAAAAGGGAAACTGTGGTGGGAGCAGCGAGCAGACCCCGGAGAGCAGCACTTGAGCAGGGTCACACCAACAAGGCTGGAAGCCAGACCTGCGCCCCTCCGCAGGGCCCCGGCCCCGGGTACTCACGGGGCAGAGGGCTCTGGCACCTTCCAGGAGGGAGTGGGGGTGATTCTGGCAAGACGGGGCTCCTTGGCCTGCGGAGAGGGAAGGAGGGCGTCTTCTCTTGGACCAGCAGCTTTGGCTCCCAGGGCCTGGCCCCCTGCCTCTCGCCCCACTCACCTGAGTGGCGGTCCCTTCCAGCAGCGAGGAGGAAGCTGAGCGCTGCAGCCCAGCCCCGGGGGCACCCTCCGCCCCCTGTCTGTCTGCAGGGCCCAGGGCACCAGAGCTCCCCGTCTTCTGGAGGCCAAAGCGCCTGGAGAAGGGGACCTCCTCGGAGGTCTGGGGGCAGAGAAAGGTCTCAGTGATGGAGAAGGGGGCCCTCTTCCCAGACATTTCAAATATTCCCCCCAGAAGGACCACAGCGAACTACAATTCCCATCAGCCCCTGGAGCAGGTGCACCACAAAGATAGTCAGCTGTACTAGAGGATTCTGGGAACTGTAGTCTTCACCCCATCTACCCAGACAAGAGATGTACAGGGCTCATGGGACCCCCTCCCCTCCCCTCCCCTCCCCTCCCCTCTGCATGCAGGGCCTCCAGACTCACTGAGGGGCCTTTAGGGCTGGGGGGTGGCGGGGAGGACACTCCATTGAGGGTCCTGGTTTCTGCAGGGGGCGACTCTGTTGGGTAAGAAAATGAGATCTTAATAAGAATATGCCAGCAGCACCGACCAGTGTGGTTCAATGGCTGAGCATCGACCCATGAACCAAGAAGTCACCAGTTTGGTTCCTGGTCAGGGCACATGCCCAGGTTGTGGGCTCGATCCCCCACACAGGGAGTGAGCAGGAGGCAGCCAAACAATGATTCACTCTCACATCAATGCTTCTTTCTCTCCCGCTCCCTTCTACTCTCTTTAAAATCAACAAAAACATTTTAAAAATAAAAAAGAATATGCCAACTGCCTGTGAGAACCAGACCCTCAGATCCTCCTCCCCAGACCCGAGTCCAGGCCCCCAGCTGCTCACCTGTGGGGCCTTCCTCTCGCTCGTCGTCATCATCCCGGATGGGGGGTCCCCCTGCCCCCCCAGGCCGGCGCTCCTTGGACAAGTCCTGGAGGGAGATCTTCTCTCGGCTGCTCAGACGACACACGGAGCTCCTGGTGGGAGGGGAGGGTGTCAGGTCCAAACCCTGGGCGCCTCCCGCCCTGCCCCCAGGGAGATGCCCTGGTACCTTCGGTGTTTGCTGCTGGAGGGCACCTGGGGCTCCGGGACCCGGCTCTGGGAGGCGGCCTTCTGGTTCCGCAGCTGCAGGGAAAAGGGGGCTGCTGGGAGGGGCAGAACATGGGGGTCCTGGGTCCCACATCCCCAACACGGAAGGCCACCCGCACAGCTGTGGTGAGGGCTTCCCAGGTGCTCCACAGGGAAGCTCAGCTCCCGGCGCAGGGAGGGCTCAGATGGCCGAGCGGCTGCACCGGCACCTGGGTCCCATCGCGCATCACCATGTGCACCCACAGGCGCCCTGTTCTCCCTGGGCCTCCCGCCTCCCGGCCTCTGGTCTCATCTCGAGGGGTGTCCCTACCCTCCAGGGGAGACCTGCTCCAACTCGCCCACCCTCCCAGGACCCGGACACGCGCTCCCACAGAAACCCACCAGGGCCAGAGTCCACACCGTTCACTATTCACCCCCCGTTTTTCCAGAAACAAGGCCCCCCTGGTGCTAGTCGGAGGGACCCTGGGGGGCGCGAGGCCCAGCCTGCAGGCGGGCGAATACCCGTGCGCATCCTCAGGCCCCGCCGC